GGGTGAAAAGGGTAACTATTGTATTGTTCTGTACACCTGAAACTAACAATAAAAAAAAATAAATTAAAAAAAAAAAAAGAAAAAAAGAAACATGTGGTTCCTGTCCCTCATGACCTGCTCTGCTCACACGTCCTAGGCCCCCTGAGAGGAGCTAATAATGGTGGCTTGAAGCCAGGAAGGCCATTGGAAAAACTGGTCCAAAGATCTCGACCCACAACAATTTTGTAAATCTTACTCAATTCAGCATCCTAGGACACCAGGAGATAGGCTGGGTCTGCCATCTAGGCCATCTGAATGTGGGTTAATGGCTGCGAAGATCAAAACTTTTTCTTTAAGTCTAAAAAGGTTGTTGTTTGTGTGGAGTCAGGCAAGTAAGCATGTCAAAGAAAAAGAAACAAATCCACCTGTGAATTTTAATTACAACTCTGTAAGGGCATAATAAAGAAATGGAAAAGCAACTTAGAATGAAAAGGACTACCTGTAATTTGTGGGAATCCCAGAAGAGTCACTCGGCGCAGCTCAACCCAGGCTGAGATGGAGATGCCTTTGGTGGAGAAGCCACCCCCCACAGTCCCTCCCACCCTCAGGCTATTGCAGCCCACCTGTGGCTCAGTGGGAGGTGAAAAGCAGGGTGGATGAGCTGAGCTGAGCATTTAGCAAGAGAAGAGCCAGAAATGTAGATGCATGAACCTCCAAACACACAATGATGGACCCTGCATCGCATGTCCAGTAGCTCTTCAGCTCTACATGGCAGCAAAAGCCAATCTGAATACACAAAGTTCTATTTTCATGGTACCCTTTTGCCAGTTCAATCACTGTGGAGCTTCATAAGTGACTCTTGGGTTCCAACCTTGACCTACTAAATCAGAATCTCTAGTGGCAAAGCCCAAGGAAGTGTTCTTTTCAAAATAACCCCGTGGGAAGAATAATCTTTCCCCAAAATGGTGCTGTAACGACTGGATACAAATGAATGAACCTGGACCCCTACCTCATACCTTATAGAAAAATGAACTCGAAATGGATCAAAGTCCTAAACATGAAAGCTAAAACTACGAAAACTATTAGAAGAAAACAGAGTAAATCTTTGTGACCTTGGATTAGGCAATGATTTCTTAGATATGACACCAAAAGCACAAATCACCAAAGAAAAAAATACATGAAATATCAAAATTTTAAACTTTCATGCTTTAAAGGATACTGTCAAAAAGTGAAAAGAGAACCAACAGAATTGGAGAAAATATTTCTAAATACATATCTGATAAAAGACTAGTGTCCAGAATATATAAAAAAAATCTTGCAACTCAACAAAAAGATAAATAAGCCAATTTAAAAAATAGGCAAAGGATCTGAATAGATGTTCTCCATAGGAGATAGACAAATGGCTAATAAGTACATGAAAATATGCTCAATATCATTAGTTCTTATGGAAATGCAAATCAAAACCACAATGACACAGCTTTCACACACACAAGAATGGCTACAATAAAAAAGACAGATAATAACAAGTATTGTAAAGGATGTAAAATAACTGAAACTCTCAAACATTGCTGATAGAAGTTTTAAAATGGTGCAGCTATTATGGAAAAGTTTTGCAGTTCCTCAAAGTTAAACATAAGTTTATTATATGACCCAGGAATTCTACTCCCAGGTATATATCCAAGAGAAATGAAAACATATATCTACCCAAAAGCTTGTATACAAATGTTCATAGCAGCATTATTCATCATAGCCCAAAAGCGAAGCAACTCAAATGTCCATCAGTGGATGAACAGATAAACAAAAGGTGGTCTATCCATACAATGGACTATTTATTATTCAGCCATAAAGTGGAATGAAGGACTGATACACGCTACAACATGGGTGAATCTTGAAAACATTATGCCAAGAGAATGAAGCTAGATGCAAAAGGCCAAATATTGTATGTATGATTCCATTTATATGACATGCCCAGAACAGATAAATCAGTGGAGACAGGAAGTAAATTAGGGGTTGCCAGGGATTAGGAGAGGAAGGCGTAGGGAGTTACTGCTAATGCATTTAGGTTTTTCTTTTTGGAGTGATGTTAATGTTCTGAAATTAGATAGCAGTGAGGTGTGAGTACACAGCCACCATCTCCTTCTGCCCCAATATGCCTTACCTGGCCTGAAGGCTTCTCAGTCCTTTCTTTGTTGCTCCCTGTGGAAAGCCATTGGCAGTAACATCCAACGGCTGCTCAGGAACTGCACTCCAGCTGATGGCTATGAAAAGATAAAATTCTGGGGTTAAAACTGTTCAGTTTTCTATAAATTCCAGAGGTACTTTAATAACAATATTCCCCTGCCTCTGCAGACCCATGAGCGCCAGATATAACATCAGATACAATGACTGTCGTCACTCTGACACTTGACCTCCAGACTACGATAGCATAAAATGGTTCCTGATTCATCATCATCATTATCATAACAACTAACAATCATTGAGCATTTATTATATGCTAAACACTGTAAATGAATGAAACAGAATTTCTCATTTAATCCTTATAACAACCCTGATAAATAAATAATATTCTTATCTGAAGATAAAGAAATTGAGGTTAAGAGAAGTAGGTTGCCCAGGGTCACACAGAACATGAACTTGACCCAGTATGGGTGTCTCCAAAGCCCACACACACTATTGACCATTTGGGTGGTAAACTGCCTCCCCAGGCTGAGAGGATGCAGCCCCTCCTAGGCCACTCCACCCTCTGGGGACAAGTTACTCCAGGGCAAGTAGCAACTGGATCCTTTACCTGCTCCGCAAGGAACAAGTCGGCCTGGGCTGTCAGCCCTTTTTGCCTGCACTGCATAGCGGCTCTGTTCAAACAGTAAATCTGACTGCTGTATTTTCACTTCTTGAACTCCAAAGCCTTTGGGTAAAGCCGAGACATTCTGACACCTACATGTGAGAGAAAACGCATTCAGTTTAGGCACACTCCTTGAGAGAATACCTAGGATTGTGGACCACATCAGCACCCCATATCTTGGTGGGGAGGCAAAGGCCTTAGGAGATGTGTGGATTTGTTTATTTGTGGGTAGGGAAATACAGAAGGGTGTGGCAGAATAGAATCTAAATTATATGAACCTTATGGCAGCAAGAAGGTCCCTTCTCATCACTCTGAAGTGATATCTATGATTTGAGTCACCACCCCTCAGTGACTTCAGTAACACCAAAGTCATTCCTGATATCGGCTTCGACAGATCTGAAAACCTTAAGCAGGAATGTTAACTTGTTGGCATTGGCTTCCTAGGGAATCCTTGAAACACAGCAACCAAAATTATCCTGTCATATGAAAGCTTCATTTTTCTCTCTTGTATCTTTTCACACAAACTAGATGCCAACCCGACACTGGTTTAGACCTAAGTGGACAGCCACTTAGAGTCTAAGAATAGGGAAAACATGGAAAGCACAGAAAACGTCTGGGGCACGGCAATGAGGGTTACTTTTTTTTTTTTTTAATTTAACATATTTACTGGGATATAGTTTATATCCCATACAATTTACCCATTTAAAGTGTATAATTCAATGTATTTTTTAGTATGTTCATAGAATTGCACAACTATCACCACAATCTAAGTTTATAACATTTTCATCACCCCAATAAGAAACCCTGCACCCATTCCTTTCTCCAGCCCCTGGCACCCATGAATCTACTTTCTGTTTCTATGGATTGCCTATTTTGGACATTTCACTACATGAAGTCATACATCATGTGGCTTCCTTCACTTGGCACGTTTTCAAGGTTCATCCATGTTGTAGCTAGCACGTGTCAGTCCTTCATTTCTTTCTGAGGCTGAGTGATATTCCATTGTATGGATAGACCACCTTTTGTTTATCCATTCACCAGCTGGTGGACATTTGGGTTGTTTCACTTTTGGGCTAGGATGACTAGTATTGCTATGTACATTTATGTACAAGCTTTTTTTTAATTAAAAAAATTTTTAAATATATATATATTTTAAGATTTTATTGGAGAATTGAGGGAGGGGAACAGCGTTGGGGCATCGGGGAAGGGGAACAGACAAGTTGCTGTCCTTTTGTTCTTTAGTTGTGGAGGACATTGCTTCACTGGCCCATGTTGGTATTGTGATCATTGCACTCTTCCTGGCTGAGCCAGCCATTGGATGGCGGCTCATGGCGGCTCACCACAGCCCACTGCAGAATGGGCTGCAGCCTACGCCGTCTCCAGGTGGAGCTGTTGTTCAGCATCTTAGCTGTAGAGGGTGCATTGTCACTGGCCCTCATGTGGGATCTGAACCAGGGCCCTGCTGCTCAGAACTGGTGTCCTAAGCCAACTCTTAACCAACGCGCCACTCGGCCAGCCCCATGTACAAGTTTTTATATGGATGTATGTTTTTATTTCTCTTGGGTATGTACCCAGGAGTGGAATTAGTGGGTTACATCCTGGGGCTACTTCCTGGAGTGGCTTTAGGAGTGGTAATTTGACACAGGCCCACAGGCTTCCTCTGGCCATGGCTTCATCCTGCCCTTAGTTACTACAGCATTCTTTGGGTTTGGCTGCCTACTGTGGATGGAAAGAAAAGGGGGTTCTATGGAAAGTAACCTCACAGGGGGATCTGATCATAAATGCCTAACTGGGCAGGTCATGGCGGGTAGTCAGGCCCCAGTCATATAACTTCTTTAGTGAAAGGTTTTAAGCCAGCCCTGTTCATTGTTCACATGCATCTAGATTAACAAGCCTTTGAAATACCACAAGTAATATCCCTAGAAGGGGGTAGTAGTGCTCAAGAGCACATAATCTTGCTAACTATCCTGTAATCCAATCCCCTCCTTGCTTTCTCCAATCTTCCTTATGTCCAAGTGCATAAATGAAGCTGCAAAACTGTTATTATCGGAAGCAGTTGAGATCTTGCTCCTGGAATTGTTGTCAGTTTGGCTCAAATAAACTCTTGTAAAAATTCTCTATAGGTTTGGATATTTTTTATGTCGACATTTCTTTTTTTTTTTTTAAAGATTTTTATTGGGGAATTAGGGAATGGGAACAGCGCTGGGGAATTGGGGGGAAGGGGAACAGACAAGTTGCTGTCTTTCTGTTCTTCAGTCTAGATGGGGAGGATGTTGCTTTACTGGCCCAGGTTGGCACCATCATTGCGCTCTTCCCAGGCGAGGCAGATCAGTCGCCGGCTTCTGGACGGCCGTTCACGGCGGCTGCTGGCCGCTCACGCTGGCTGCTGGCCGCTCACGCTGGCTGCTGGCTACACACGGTAGCCCATGGCAACCCACTGCCACAGGGGCTGCAGCCTAGGCCGTCGCTGGTGACTCACGGCAGCCCAGCTCCAGGTTGAGCTGTTGTTGAGCCTCTTAGCTGTAGAGGGCAGTGTCACTGGCCCTCATATGTGGGATCTGAACTGGGGCCCTCTGGCGTCCCAAACCAGCTCTTAACCAACGCGCCATTTGGCTGGCCCATATGTCGACATTTCTTTAGGGAGACCACACTTGAGTGAGCATCCTTTGTCTTTTATTATTTTTTTTTAATTAACAGTAATATTTGAGGGTTTTTAAATTGTTTAACAGCAATATATGTACACTGTAGAAGAATTAGAAAATAGAGTAGTCACAAAGAAAAAACTACCCATAATACCACAACTCAGAGGTAATAATATTAATACCTTTGTGACTTTCCTCCTACTATTTTTTTCTTATGTGCAAATGAACTCACTTTATCCTCTAAATCGTTCTTTAAACATTATGAGGATCTTACTATGTTAAATATTCCTCAATAGGAATCTTAACAAAAACTACTTAATCTCCTATTGCCGGCCATTTTAGTGATTTCCTTCTTTTAAAAAAAATGACTACACACAAAGCTAAATGCTTGACCACCTCCCTCAATTATTTCCTTGTAACAAATTCCTAGCAGTGGAACTGCTGGATCAAAATGTATGGACATACTCTCCGACTGCTGCTTGGAAAGACTTCCAAAGGAGACCTCCCTCCCTGCCCTCTCACCTCCCAATCAGTGCTCTCTGCATGGCTTCCGGGCTGTACGGACACTTCCCGATGATCATAGCTGACAGGTAGATGGGCTCTTCTAAAAAGTGCATCAGCAATGCCCCTTGGCATCCAAGGATGTTCCACCGTGCCAACTTGTCACTGCAGGACATGGAGCAAGTCCTGTCTCCCCGGCCTGGCTTCACTCGGAGCAGCCCCACCTGGTGATAGGCAGCACCTGGCAGCCCCGAGTCTCCAGCTTCTCCAGGCACACACTTGGCTCCGGTTCTATAAACATCCACTACTCTGGCACCACCAGGGGCCATTCCAGGGACAGCAGCCAGTTCCTCTGAGGCGAGATTAGAGCTGCTGACACTTGCTGGGATTGGGCCACTTTCCTGATTGCCAAAACTCTGATGGTGAGCCACACCATTGATGACTTCTGTGGCAGGAGTCCCGGACTCAAGCCTCATCTTTTTGGTCACAGGACTATCTGGACCTTCACACTTCCTTTTGTCTTCAGTAGCTTCCAGGTTACCACTGGCTTCCACTGACAGGTCATTGGCCCAATCTGCACTGACTGGACAGCAAGGCTGATCTTCAAACTCAAGCATTGGAATGATGGAGGCATCTCCACCTGCAGGAGAAGGAACCCCTTAGATCAAGTGGTTCTCAAAGTGAGGTCCTTGGTCCAGCCACATCAGTATCCCTTGGGAACTTGCTATAATGCAAACTCTTGGGACCCACAGTAGACCTGCTCCATCAGAAACTCTGCAGGTGGTACCCAGAAGGCTGTGTTCTGATAAGCTCTCCAGGTGAGTCTGGTGCAAGCTCAAGTGTGAGAACCACTGTTTTAAACAAAGCTTAATTCTCTTCTCCCAGCTGACCTGAGATGAGTTAATATTTGCCCAAATTTCCCTAATAAGAATCCTCTGGGGCTTTTGTTGAAGACCCTCTCCAGACCCAGTGAGTTAGAATTTCTGGGGGGACGAAGGGTGAGTGGGGTGTGGGGAGTCTGGAAAACGGAATATTTTAACAATGATCCCAGGTAATTCTTATCACAGGAAATTTGGAAATACTGGTTTGGACCAGGATTTCTCAACATTATTGATATTTTGGGCCAGATAATTATTTGTTGTGGGGTCTGTCCTGTGTACATTATAGGATGTTTAGCAGCCTCCTAGGTCTCTACCTGTATCAATAGCATCCCTCCAAGTCTGGCCATCAAAAATGTCTCCAGATTTTGTCAAATGTCCCCTGGGGAGCAAAACAGTCCTGAGTTGAGAACCATGGGTTTAGAATGAGCACAGTTTCCCAAGTGCATTTTGTTTAATGTTATCCCACACAATGTCTTTGAAAACAAAAGTGGGTGGTTGATTTCATGGTTAAATAAGTTTAGCAATGCTCACAATTTCCCCATCTTAGAGATTTATGTGTATGTCCTCAGAGTAAAAACTCTGCAGCAAATTACACAGCTGGTGTATCCACACGCTGGTTGAGAGATTTCTGACCTACTCTTGTGCTTACATGGAATAAAAAAAAAAATCAGAGGTCAGTAAAGAGCACAGCTTTCCCCTTGAGAAGGGAGCTACTTCTTCAAACACTAACCTAATGTGTGTTGCTTTTCTAAAGTGTGTGAATAATACATCTGTAGCCTTTATAACCCAAGAGTGGGAGAGGAAAGAGGAGATGCAGAAGTGGGAGTGTTGCCAGAGAGGCTGGCTGGCCGACTTCCAGACACCTCACAAGATGAGAGTGACTTTGGAGAATTCACCAGGGCCCACCTCCGAGGCCGCAGGCTCCAAAATTTGACCTTGACAGATGCCTGAACTCAAGAGGCTGACTCATGCTAACAAAACTCACAAGTAACAGTCTGAAGTAGCTAAACCATGCACCAAGTTATCAATAAGTAATGAGGAATAAATGCCAAGGAAGCCAGATAGTCACATTCTCTAGGTAGTGTCCTTTCTTTCTGCAGACAAACCATGGGTAGACATCACATTTAAAGTTTTTTTTTTTTAAATGAGCCAGGGAAGTTAGATCAGTACCTTTAGATTTTAATTTCACAGTAAAATTTCCAGAAGATTTTAAGATCAACAGAGGTTGTCAACTTTTTATTCTACCAAGACCTTTAAAAAACCTAATTACCATTATTTTAAAAAGATTAAACTCACATAACCTTTAAATGGAAAGAAATTAGCTTTTTGAAAAATTTACTACATAGTCCTGATTTTTTCTCATCTGGTCATAGACCAGTACACCCTCACAGAGCAAAGGAAGCCTGTGAGCTGTTGATTTGTGTAGTTCAATTAGGTGGTCAGGCTAGCTGTGCCCAGGATACATCTATCTCACAATAAAGCTACACCTGCCAGCTCAGCCCTGGCTACTCAAAGTGTAGCCAGGACAACACCACTGGCATAGGCTTGAAATTGGTTCGAGATGCAGAATCTCAGGCTCCACCCCAGATCAACTGACTTTGAATTTGCATTTGAGCAAGACCCCTGGGTGATACATACAGTTTGAGAGGCGCTGAGTTAGGAAAAATCCTTTGGTCCTTGGACCAGCGCACCCATTGCTAAGAACAGGGCATGGACGAGTCCTACCTACCTCTGTATGTCATTTTTCTGGCCTTTGATGCTTAACCAACTCTTTTCTGACAGACTCATTCTTTCTTAAGCTATATTATATCTTTGATTTGAGTTATGATCAAGTCTTGACAGCTATTCTGTCTCTTTAGAGTGATTACCTATCTCTCCTCTAATTACATGTTAGTCTTAAAGTTTAATACTCAGAGGACAATCTTATATCCTTATTTCAAAGTTTTTAGAATGAGAAAATTTTACTGCCATCCCTGAGTTGTCTACAAAGGGCAGAAACTATTCTTAATTTTCAAGTTAGAAAAACAGAGTGTAGAAATGACACTGTGGGCTAGGTCTGGTCTTCCTGCCTAATGCAAACACAGCTCCTGACATCCCCTTATAACTCATCAAACTTTAACCACGACTGTCTACATTCCCTACAAGACTATGAGGGTAAGCAAGGGGCTAGTCTCATTCACAGTTACATCCCAGTATGTCATACTATACCTGATAAGTAGTCGAAAATATTTGTTTAATGAATGAATGAATGAATAAAATGAGTTTCAGGATAAATGACTATAGAGCCCATGGCTTTGGACTTCTAAGCCCTATTGTTGGTTTCAGGCCTTGTTGGGGTTTCAGCTGTTTCCCAGTCCTGACTGGGAACTGAGAAGTGAGTAATAGTATGAGTTAGTCCCCCCCACCACCCCCTTTCCTTGTTATAGAAGTGATTAGGCACACTGTCCTATTCCCAAAAAGGCACTGTCATTGGTTGTAGCTACACTTCAGCCAGAAGGGCTTTTTTTGAGAAACATGTCTATGGATAACACAAATATAAGGAAGAAGACAATGTAACATTAATCCAAAGGTTTGACTATACTTACAGGGCGTGTGGCTGGAGAAAAACACAAACGAAAGGTGTGGTGTGAGTTTCCATAGTCCTCTCTGAGTTCCTGGGACAAAGATGCTATCCTGCTTCAGGGCAGCCACCAAGTGGAGCTGATGCAGAAGGTACCTAACGGGTGCAGGATGTTATCAGAATGAACACCGATCTCTGTGGTAAAGGGAAAGGCTCTGGCTAGGTATTTACTAAGAAAGAAAGATCTACTATCGATTTTGGAATTATGGGGCTGATCTAGACCAAGGATTTTCAAAGTGTGGTTCTTGAACTGGCAGTATCATCTGGAATTTGTTAGAAATGACATTTCTCAGGCTCCACCATGGACTGGCTGAATCAGAATATCTGCGGGTGAGCCTAGCAATCTGGATCTTAACAAACCTTCTAGTTGATTCTGATGCATACTCAAGCATGAGAACCACTGTCTAGACCAGTGCTATTCAAAGTGTAGTTCACAGGCCAACATAATCAATTTTGCTTGGGAGCTGATTAGAAATGCAAATTCTGGCCCCTCCCACCCCCACCTCAGGCTACATGAGACTCTGGGGATGCGGCTTTACCTTTGGAAACTCCTCCTGGCTATGACCTCAGCATGGCTATCATTGAGGATGTCTCCTGTGGCAAAGACAGGACACTAGTGAAGACCAGAACCTAGAGAGACCTTGGTTCCTAGAAGCAAAACACAGCAGTTTTCCCCAGCACCCTGGATGCCCATGTAGCTCCTAGAGGGCTTTGCCAGAAAGTATCACAACCATTAACGGCGATGCATTTACAGCAGGGTTTCAACTCTGCACTATTGACACTTTGGGTTGGAAAATTCTTCGTTGTGGGGGGTCTGTCCTATGCATTGTAGGATGTTGAGCAACATTCCTGGTCTCTGCTCACTAGAGGCCAGCTGCACACTCCCCTCCATCTAGTTGTGACAACCAAAAAGTCCCCTGGGGGGCAAAATCTCCCGTAGCTGAAAACTACTGACTTATAGGGAAATCTTCATCTGGAGGACAGGGGTCCAGATCTTTTGTTCCTTGGTATCATACTTGTGCTCATGGTGATACAATTCCATGGAATTCAATCCACAGTGGTCCGGGAACAGCTTCCTCATATATAGGACCAAGGCTAGAACGGAGGAAGCAAACTCGAGGAAGCCTGTGCTAACTAGAAGCAGAAGGTAGAGATGCCAGATCTCTAAGGGATTTCTATTTTCTTCTTGGTGCCAAAGTCTCCATTTAACTCAAGATTGCTTTCTGGGGCTTCAGATATAATGTAGAATAGCTAAGCCTGGGAACTTCTGGTGTGAGCGTGAAAATACTGGCCACCTTTCAATCCACTCAGAAAGCATGTTCCCGGTGGCTTCTGCTTCCAGTTTATCCCCATTCTTTAAATGAGTTCTGTCCTTGCAACAGGAGCGGTGGTCAGTGTGAACTGAAAGGTCAGCCACCTCAGTAATATGGCCCCTGTGCCCTGAAGAAGAGGAAAAGGGCAACATGGACACCGTTTCCAAAGCTCCCTAGACAGGCACCGTTCAGGCGGCATGTGGGCTTACCGCTCTTCCTCATTTTGGACCGGCCTATGCATTTCGTTCCTGTTCCCATTGAGACAACTTCTTTTGTCACTGAGGGGAAAAGAAGGAATTGTTAAGTGAGCTCTCAGAATATGAATGGTCCCCAGTCTTCAGGTTTAATAAGTCTGCCCTTTCCTCCAGAGCATTCCCATAGGCTGACCCATCTGAGGATCTGGGTTCCAGCACAACCATCTCCCACCAACAGAAGTACTGCACCACCTGGTGGAGAGCAGGGAAACACGCCCAACACCACGGTTTAGACCTGATCACAACCATCCCTGTAGAGCTACCTATAATTCTGTCATCTCTGACAGGGAGAGGGAGCGTTCCAGAGAGCAAAGGTCTCACCTTGCACTGGTTTGTCAGGGCAGTCACAGATCTGGTCAGCTATAGGCTGTATCTTCACTACAGCTGCTAATAACGTCCACTCGCGGTTGGGCTCAGGCTTCCCCTGCTTGGGCAGACTGGTCCTGTAGTGCTCATAACACAGGCACGCAATCTCATCTGCGGTCCACATGGTCTGAGCGGGTGCTGAGGCCCTGATCAAAAACCATGACCATCATAAGTACAGAAAGGGGGACCAATGTTAAGATGCTATACCCTCACACCAGTGCGTCAACAGACTTTCAGATGTAGCCCGACTGTGTTCATACCGAGGTTTCTGTATCTGTAACTTTATGGGTCATTTTCTCCTACTTCCCTGCCCCTTTTCATCTTTAAGGAAAGATCAAAGACATCTCAAATCCCACCAACCCCAGAAGACACTCTATTTCTTCAAGCTGTTTCTGAGTTTTTGTTAATGTTCGATATCTGACGTTTCTAATGAATCTGAACCAACTACTCAAAATGAAAGCATAAGAGAGGGAAGCAGCCTCACTAGTCCAGCTTTCTTTTGGAGATAGCACAGCTTGTCGGGCTGCAGACCTCAGCTCAGTTTAGGCGGACTCTCATCCTACAAGGTTTATCTTTCCCAGGCAGATGTTGTTTTTTTCCATCCTCTTTTTCAGGCATTTCATTTTTCTCTTATTTCCCCCACAGTAGATGGGTTCTTTAGTTCCCTCTAATAAATCTCTACTGATGTCCCTATCAGGAAAGCAACCCTTTCATTTCTCAGATAGTTTTATGACGCAGAAGGAAGAAGTGACAGGGCTCAGTTTTTTCTCACCAATCAAGGGTTCTCATAGGAGTTGTGAAGAGTGTGGGCTTTTGAGTTACCCTTTCTGGGTTCTAATTATGGCTTTGCTTATATGAACTGTGTGGCATTGGGTAGATTAACCTCTCTATGCCTGTTTCTTCATCTGTTAAAATAGGGATAACAGTACTATCTAATCCATGGGGTAATTGTGAAGATTAAGTAATATTTATAAAAAATTACTGTTATAATACTGAACATAGTGTCAACTGTGATTAGTATTACTAAAAAGAACCTTTGGTTTTCCCGATTATATGCCTTGAGCTTCTTGGGGGGAGGGAGGCTGTAATGGGTACACATCAAGCCATGAATGAAAACCATTCAGTAGGTCAGGCCTGAAAGAGGCCTAGGATACTTTGCTGGAAATGCTCCCACTCGTGACTGTTGACTCTATCAATGACCTCACTTGGATTCAAATGTATGAAAAGCTTCTTGGTAGAAAATGAGATCCTTGGTGACAGACACAGCTAAGCATTTAAAAAAAGAAAAAAGAAAGGCTTTCCTGAGTCCCAATACATGTAGCTTTTGAAAACTGATGTTTCTACAAAGAGCCTCCTATATTGTGTTAATTAAACAAGGAGACCATTAGACCAATGTGGCTCTAATGCCGCAGCATTACATTGGTTTGTAAGCAAACCAAGGTCTAAGCCTGTAAATGCCTCAAGGTGTGGATGAAAAAAAGCGACATAACTCAACCAGACAAACTCAGGGGAGGCCTGCATGGCGGGCCCTACAAACTCAAGAGACTGAAAGTAACCACAGAGGGTGGTCTAAACATAAAAATTCCCAACTAAAAGCGAGTCATGGTGTGGAGTCCCTCCCTAGGACTGTAGCTTCCATGACAAAGGTCAATCTTTGCCTTAAGTGAGCCTGTCTATTGTCTTTCTGCTTCTAAGATAACACACCTTTGAAATAGCAGAGTAATTTCCTTTTCCAGACCCCTAAGGGCACAGCCCCTCACCAGAGCAAAGACCACAGAACCCCTCATTGTTATTTTGTTCCCCTGCATACCATCTGCAAGTGCTGTAAATATTAACTATCCTGTACCCACCAATGGAAAAGAAGTATGTATCTCTCGTTTTACTTTTTATCCAATCCCAGAAATCCCCCCCCTTTGCTTTCTCCCGCCCCCTTAATCTACCAATGGATTTCATGTAACTCTCCTTATATTTCCTTTTATTCCAATGCGTAACATAAACTGAAAAACTGCCCTTCTAGGGAGCATTTTCTCAATCCCTCAAGATTTTGCTTCCCATCGTCATCAGTTTGGCTCAAATAAACTAAAAAATTTTCTACAGGTTTGGACGTTTCTTTTGTCAGCAAAGCTTACATCAAAACATTAAGGACAATCAGGCTTTAAGCTACTGTCAAATAATTTATTTTCTTGTTTCTGCCCTTTCTCTTTCTCCTGGCTCCTATTTACAGAGCCAGGCTCCTAACCATTTCTGGTTTGGTGTTGATTTTTGCTCAAGTAACCTCTTAAAAAATTTTAATATGCTTGTTTGGTTTTAACAGTTCGGATGTGCAGGCCTGTTATTGCAATATAAATGGTCACGGGAAATCAGACCATACTGATTTAAAGCAAGAATATAGCAGGAACTGACATAAATTGTGACTTTAAAGTCAGAGAGCCAACATAAGTTTTGTATCTCGCAGAGAAAAAGAAAAGTATGGGAGATCATAGAATCCTCTTTTGGAAGGGATTTCCCTCATTTCTAGGGGGACTATCACAAGGCAGTATATGTTATGAAGGCAGACACTCAGGGAACCAACCTGAAGTTAATAAGCCAGTCACATATCACAAACCATAAGAGCCAAGGAAGACATTACTTGCCAGAAACGTCGTCTCCTTAAGATGAAGCATCCCAGAACTATATCATCATCTCCTTCATGTAGCTGAGTCTGGATGAGCACGCACAATAGTTGAAATGAGTATGTTTTTGATACACTGGGTCCACTAAAATTCAAACCCACTCTTCTCCTAGATCCTGAATAGCTTCTTCCTATTAAACAACAGCTCAGTTAAACAGGCATTTTTTTTTTGCCCACAAGACAGCTTGTTATGCCAGTTGCAAAAAGTTTAAGAACCCACTTCCTGTTCAAACCAAAGGTAACGCAGGTCGGCTGCGAGGTGAGAAATTTAAGCAATACTGTAAGGTAAGCCTACTTCCCTTAGGCCACCTCCTCATTAACTTCAAAACCTGACCCTCTTCCCGGCAGTCTCTAGAGGCAGGGGCTGGGGCCCATTCCGCCTGTTACAGAGGCTCCAGGACCTGGACGCAGGGACGTGAGCACCTATCTCCTAGGGTGATTAGGGATCGGCTGTGAGGCTACACGCCCCACTCTCGCCCGCAGCAAGAGCTTCACTCCGCGGATACTGGCATTTCCATGAAAGGAGACGCACTGGTCCACGTGTCGCATGTCGGGGGAGGCAGGGTCATCACAACCTCTTCCCACACAAAATGGCCTCGGGAAAATCAGACCGAGAGCACTTCATCCAGAAGCCCCAAGGCCACCCTCATTCGCGCATCCCCGGACTCGTCACCCCACCGCCTCGCGCACGCTCCCCTCCCACCTCTTCGACGAGGCCCATCGAAGGAGCGAGCAGAATTCGCGCCGCGCAGCGAACGTGACGTCACTGAGGCTGTTATTCCAGGCCCCGCCTCCAGAAGTGCGCAGTGCCCTCTGGCCCTTGTAGTCCTTCAGGGTGGCGTGGTGCAGGTGCTTCGATTCCGGTGATTTGTGGCGCTGTGCGCAGGTACTGGTGAAATGGGCTGATGGAAGCTGACTCCCCGATAAGATGTGATTCAAAGAATGGTACAATGATGTCGCGTCTTGGAACACTAGTCTGAATTTCTGTCTAAAATAGCGTTGTCCAATAGAAATATAATTTGAGCCAGGTATGTAATTTAAAATTTTCTAGTGGATACATTTTAAAAAGTCAAACGAAATAGATGGAACTAATAAAATTTTATATTTTATTTAACCCAATATATCCAAAGCATTATCATTTCAATGTCATCGATATGTTAAAAAATATTGAGATATTTTACTTTTTTTTCATACCAAGTTTAAGAAATCTGGCGTGTATTTTACACTTTACAGTATATCTCAACTTGAGCCAGCCACATTTCAAGTGCTCAATAGCCACATGTGGCTAGTCTAAAACCTTCAGATTGCCAGGAATAGCTACCCGGGTTGTTCAGAAGCCTGTACAATCCCACAACTGTATATCTCAATTCCTAAAAATGAGAGAATTCACTTTTCTTATTACTCCTCAAAAGTTAGAAGTGCAACTTATTTGATCCTATCCTTCTCAGTAGTTCAAAGGAAAAGGGCAAGAGGCCTCCTTCTAGCTAAGGACCCTGTTCCTCATTTCTGTCTCTTCAACATCTTTAATCTGCTACTGACTCCCCTCTTCTGTATTTAAAGAAGGGCATTATCTTGGTGGGGTATTCATCTTCTAGGGTTCTTTGCCTCAGGGATTGGTACCATCATCAATCTAATTGCACAAATTAAAAAAGCTTGGGCCGGCCGAGTGGAGCGTTGGTTAGGAGTTGGCTTGGGACGCCAGCTCTGAGCAGCAGGGCCCCAGTTCAGGTCCCACATGAGGGCCAGTGACGCTGCGCTCTCTACAGCTAAGATGGTGAACAACAGCTTGACCTGGAGCTGGGCTGCTATGAGTCTCCAGCGATGGCGTAGGCTGCAGTGGAGCTGCAGTGGAGCTGCAGTGGGCTACTGTGGGCGGCTGGCAGCTGGCGTGAGCGGCTGGCAGCCAGTGTGAGCTGCCAAGAGCTGCCGTGAGTGGCCGTCCAATGGCCAGTGATGGATCTGCCTCACCCGGGAAGAGCGCAATGATACCAACATGGGCCAGTGAAGCGACGTTCTCCACAACTAGACTGAAGAACAAAAGGACAGCAACTTGTCTGTTCCCCTTCCCTGATTCCCCAACACTGTTCCCCTCCCCCAATTCCCCAATAGTCTTTAAAAAAAAAAAAGAAGCTTGTCATTACCCTTCCCTTAACCCCTGCAATATAACCTGTTGCCTATTCCTGCCCAACTCCAGTTCTTTTTCACAGAAGTCAGGCTGATGTTTTCAGAATGCAAATTCGATGTCACTCCCCTGCTTACAGACTTCAGTGGCTTTCCAGCACTTTAAAAAAAATCTTTCAATTATAGTCGACAATGTCATTAAATTCAGGTATACAATGTAGTGATTAGACAATTACATACCTTATGAATTGATCACCAGAGTGAAGTGTAGTACCCATCCAGCACTCTTAAAATACAAAATCACATAGTAGGGCTCACAGTCCCGCATGACCAGCCCCCTCCTGCCTCACCTGGTGGCATATTTCTTTGGGCTTCTGTACCTCTATCTAGTGTCGTTGCCTTCTCTATGCTTTATCCTACTTAAGGACCTTTGCACTTGTTGCCACACCACAGAAAGCCCTTCCTTCTCTATCTTCCTTCAGATCTCAGATCGAATGTCCTCGGGGAAACCTTTAACTAGGTAGCTCTGTTAAGAGTTTCTCAATACCCCATGGCCCTCTCCTTCAAAGCAATTATCAGAGTGGCCATTTTATACATTTTTAAATAGTTTATTAAATGTCTATTTTCCTTACAAGTCTGGAAGCTTGGGACCATGACTTTGTTTATTCCAGTACAGCAGTTAACAAATTGTGAGCCTTCAACTGTTTGAGGAGGTAATAAGGACTTTATAATCCTTCTAGCTTTCAATCTTGTCATTCTTCCTGCCAACCCCACAAACAAGTTGTCCATCGCTGCTTCAGTTGGTCTCTATCCCATCTCCTTGAAGCCAGAGAGTTGGCTTCTGTCCCCAGCCTACTACTCAACAGCTCTTTAACGGTCACTTTGGACCTCTTTAACCCATATCACCACCTTGCCCAAGGATGTGCCACGTGGAGGTGTTTTTTTTCTGAAATGCCACTCATCATCTACTATCACTGCCAAGCGCTCCTGGAACCTGTGCTTCAGTAACAGTAAGGGGTGGGGAGTGGTGCTCAACACTCCCTGAAGTAGTTCCCAGTTAGGTAATTCTACACTCAGATCATTTTATCAGCTACAGAAGTAGAAACCTCTGGGAAAGTAGACGGGCACCCCCCAAACCAGGATGCTTTGCAGATGTGTTGCTGAGCTGCAAAAGGCAAGTCCTTTGTTATATGACTCGCTGGAAAAAAGGGTCCCCTAGCTGCCTCCCTGTCAGGGATCAGGGACTCCATTGTAACAGCAGGCCCACAGCCAGACCCTTGTCATATTCTTAGCCCCATTGACTTGAACTGAAAATAAGAAAACTCAAAAAAAAAATAAGAAAACTCCAGACTGACTATTGAACATGCTATCCCCACCTGAAGTCTAACAGGCATGTCAAACTTAGTGTATACAAAACCAAGTGCTCAACATTCCCTTTTAAACCTGCCATTCCTGTTTTTCTACTTTTCAGTTGTTCAGGCCCAAAACCTTGAAATCACTTTTGACTCCTCTTTTCCTCACAACCCACACTCCATCAGCAAACTCTGCTAACCTCAGGAACACAGGCAGAGCCCAATAACTTGTAACCACCTCCACTGCTTTAAACCACCCAAGTCTAAGCCATTGTCTGTCCACAGCCCGCTACAATAGTGGTAAGCAATCTCCTGACTTTCACTCTTGCCCTCCACATGCTAACTGGAACAATCTTTGAAAAACGCCCCTCTGCTCAAAACCCTCCAATGGCTTTCCATCTCACTCATAAACTCCTCCTCAGCATGGCTTTACAGGGGGCCTGTGTGATCCGACACCTCACTGACCTCCACTCACTCCTCTCCAGCTACACCAGAACCTTTGTTGTTCCTCAAAAATGTGATCCTCTAGTCTGGATTGCCCTTTTCTCTCAGATCGCTGAGAGAAACGTTACCTAGGAGAGGCCTTCTCTGATCTTATATTTAAAACAGCACTGTCCCCCATCCACCTTTCTACGATAGCAACTCTGTCTCACTCTGCTTTTTCTTCTACTACCAGAAATAATATGTATTTACTTGTTTCTTGTTTGCTTACACCCACCCCCAACCTTAAATAAAGAATTTAAGTTCCATGAAAGCAGGGACTTGGCTTTTGTTCACTGCTGTGTCCCTAATTCCTTAGAACAATGCCTGGCACATAGCAGACATTAATATAATTTGTTGAATAAAGCGGTATAATCCTAAACATTCATCAGGCCATCAGCCTTAGAAAAAAGTTGACATTCCAAAGGTAAAGAATGATGAGGCAAGAGTAGAGAAAAATGGTTTATTTGGTAACACAGGGAATTTAAAAAGGAATTCTTAATTCCTTTTCTCTCTTTTGTGATAGTTAACTGAAATGCAATAGTAAATGGAAAGCAACATACAAGAATTCCCTTGCAGTCCCTGACCTTTTGCATAAATACAAAGATGCCTGAGTTATGTGACTTGCAGTTACTGTTTAGACAGAAGTGCCAGCTGTGGTGCTTTCCACTGTATCAGCATTTTCCTTCTTGTCTTCCGGTTTCATAGCAGGGAAGAAAAGTACTTCCTACAGGAGAAAAAATGTATTTTGAAGAACACTCGTTTTTTTCACAGCTATCCACCCATTCATTTTGTTATGACCAAAATGCAGAGATCTGTACATCCCAGTTGAAAAGACAGACATGTTCTTGTAATTCAACTCAGTCCTTCTCAATTATAGAGGATGGAAAAGGACACATGCATAGCACTGCTTGGGCACATGTCAAAAGGATCAAGAAACACAGCGGGTTCTCTTAAAATTTGATTTCCTCATCTACAAAAATGGGATAACTAAGTTTCTACACCCCAGAAGGCTGACAAGTTAAATGAGATAATGCATGTAGAGGGCTTAGCATGTTCCTTGGATCCTCAAGAAATGTAAGCAATCAGTATTCCTTGTGCCTCAGGCAGAAAACCCCCAAATTCTGTAAGGTCAGATGTTCAGATCCTCCGCCTGTCCGAGGCATCACACATTAACTCCTCTGCCCGCTCCTCCCTCCAGCCAAAGCCCATTTTTATTTTCCAGGCCCACCACGCCCCTCCCAGCACAGTGGCGCTCCTTCAAGGCAGTGTGCGCATGGAGGGCCGCTGTACCTTGATGTTATTGGAGTCTGTGAGAAACATGGTGACTCGGTCGATGCCCATGCCCCATCCAGCTGTGGGGGGCAGCCCGTATTCCAGGGCGGTGCAGAAATTTTCATCTATGAACATGGCCTCATCATCACCGGCGGCCTTGTCCTAAAAGAGAAGAGAACCAAACAGTGACATTGTTCTGGGCTGTACTGTCTCTCAGTGTCCGAGTCAGCCCATTAAAACACTCCCAGGGATGACCATTCCAGGGATGCTTTGGACACCCAGCACTTGCTGGGAATTAGGCTGCCCAGTAATTCTAGGACGGAGCCATTTATTTCAAAGACCTGGAGGTCAGGACTGACGAAATCTATCTCAGAACACATGCAAATTTCTCTGTGACATAAAAATAGCTCCACTGCCTAGGGCTCTGGGAGCCCAGGAATCCTGACTGACTTTCAGAGGCTCTGATGACTCCTAAGAGTCCCTCTCCCCTTTCCTGAGACTACCCACCAGTGGCAATGTTAGTGCAGGCAGCCTGTGGGGGC